TCGAAGGGGCTGACCGACCGTCTGCCTCCCTCCTCCCCTCTATCATTGCCTCGGCTGACACGCCGGCAAGCCAGCCGGCCGGCGGACTATGAAAGCAGCCAGACTCATTTGAGAGTATAAAAGTGCTGACTTCTACATCTACTGGCCACCGAAATTCACTGCATAGGCCACAAACGCCCTCATTACGCCACTACGATTCTGAATGGGAGACGAATGCGGAGGCACATCTCTCAGACGGGATCGATTAACTCCAAAAACTCTATCCTTTATCCGAAACCTACTTAAGCCGGTTAAATTACCCAAGTTTAAGGTGTACGTACGTTTTCTACTGCAATAAAGTGGCGACATTAGTCGTGTGGTTGTGTTGGTGGCAAGAATATCGACTATCTTGACTTCACGCCAAATCGTGACGAGAGATATAGTCAAGCGACTATCCTCGGTATAAGTCATGGTTAGTCCTTGAACGGTGCATGGGCTCGATTAAGAACTTGGACAGAGGTACATCTTCGAGCCCCGAGTTTTTTCGATATTTTCCATTTGTTCGGAAACACGCGACGCTCAATTTTACTGATCTTGCCGCCAACCAGGGAAGGAAGTTCACGCGACGTTTCCGCTTTCGTTTCTTCATTTTCCTTTATTTCTCCAGTGAGGAATGAGCATAATTTTAGTTTGCAGCAGTATATCCTCAGTTAGGGCTACTTCGTTACGATCACAGAGAGGATTATTAACGCGATGCTGCAATAGTCTTACCCACTTGGCAGAGTCGCTCGAATCCCAAGTAGGCCCCAATGTATCAGTCTCTCAGGATGCGTCATGAAGACCAAGGGAGACTACGAAGATGGCGCTGAAGCAAGGAATGAGGCAGATAGCGAGAACCCCGAGTAGATAGATCCGTCCCGAAGACATGGGAATGGTCCCGAGAAAACGAAGAACATGAAATCCGCGATGGCTCGTAAGGTACTGGAGCTTGCTCGATTCAGCAAGTGCTTGAGGAAGTGGCCGAGATGCTGCAGCAGCTACAATAGCAGGGCAAGCCGTGCGCGACTTCCGACGGATGATGAATGAAGTGGAAATTGGGGAAAAGCAGGGGACGATGTCTCTTACGAGCATTTGACGGACCAATTCAAAGCTCTCACGAGCGGTTCATGCCATGCGCTTTTTGCGAACGTAGATGGGTCCACTATTCCGACTCCTGCACATTGTGTACATTTACGAGAGAACGAAGGCGAATCGTGGATCGAGCACAGCTACGCCCTATGACCTCTACTACAGCTGTTCCAGAGGACAACGAAGCCGGAAGCATTACACGAGGTGCATTACCGCAACCAGACTGGGCACCATTCGGCGCTGTGTATCCTTCCGGAAAGGAGCGCAAGTATCGAAGACGAGTTGTCATAACAACAGCAATGGTAAGATAACGCCTAAAACCGCGTCTACAGACTGCGTTCAAGACTCGAGAGAAGAGCGGACGTATAAATTCATCCCGGCATGCGTGTTGGGGACGGGAGTATTGCGGCAGTCCGCGAGTTGCAAGATTTGAGTGAGAAAGAAAATGATGAAAATGTCTATATGTATACATGTAACATGTAACTGTCATCCTTCTCATTATAAACAAGCTGTGGTTGTCTTCAGCACAGGAAGATTCAGCGGAATAGGGAGAATGCCGGAGTTCTGTCCAGCTGTGCTCTTCTCGGAATGTCGGAGAAAACACCATGCACTCTACATACAGCATTCTGAGCCAGACCCTTGATCGCCGCCTTGTACATACATCTCACGTCATATAAGTGAATGATTTATATCTCATGTAGTGAAAAACAGATTTACCAGTCTAATTACCCAAGTTTGAGGGACGTGTGCTTACAGGGCAATAAAGTTTTGATATTAGGTTGATGCATAATTATTGCGGATTTTTTCGCGGCTTCTTTTCTCTCGATAAAATCGAACTTTCGAATTCGGGATTTTTGTAGAAATAATCTTCTTGTTCTCCTTAACAGAAATATGTCTAGAAAGCCATCATCATATGCGCCGCTTTATGCTCCATTACTTCGAGAAATGTTGGAAGGCGGCCCACTCAGAACGTGATCTCTTCGTGAACTTCTCGGCGACGCAACAGTCAGCCGAAGCCAAATGAAGAATGTAATCTGCTCCTAGGTTGCATTGTTCACCAACAGAAACTCTTATGGATCATCACGTTGATCCTTCGTTGAAAAATTGGTTGACGAACAAAACCTTCGACGAAGTGGATGGCTTGATGGCCAACGTCAAGGCGTGATTGCCTAGAAGAATCGAAATATCTCCGCCTATTGAATCCGACCGCCTAGCAAATGGGAAACAGTGACTGACATAGATAGTGGATATGTTCCGGAGCAATTATTTGAACATGTCTCTGATATAATTTTCTATCGTTTCTTAAAGCAAAATTGCTGGAAAAAATCCGCAATAATTATGCGTCAACCTAATATTTTGTCGTGTGGTTGTGTTGGTGACAAAAATATCGACTATCCTAACTATACGCTGAATCGTGACAAGAGAGTTAAGCGACTAAGCTCGATACGTAGATGAGTCAAGTTTAGTTCCTGGCTGTACTGCAGCCAGCTGTAGGCAATGGTACCCACACTTTTTGACAGCTCGTTTGAATACTTTTTCGTGGCAACATTCTCGTCCAGCGTCTAACTTCGCCACTTTTTCATGGCCATGATGTGATCAACAGCGAGCTCCCCGGCGACATCACCCCATCTCGCAGCGACCTACCCTCAGCTCGTGAAGATCCTACGGAAGCCCATTCGAATGTTCTTCTTGTCCATCTTTCATCATATCTTCTCACTAAATGACCGGCTCACCGAAATTTTGCATTCTTCATGTATTCTGCCGAACCGCGGACTCGAGACATTCTGCGCATGTTGGAGCTGCGGATTCCGTCTCGATATTGGGTGAGCCAATTGAACCTCAAAAGACATCGCACAAGGGCTCAAAGTCCTTGACGTGGATGCACTGGTCACCCATGCCTCCGACCCTCAATAGAGCGCAGAAAGGACTGTGGAATCGAACAGATCAGTGCGGGTCAGCCAGATGGTTGCTGACCTCTCCAAAGGTTGCCCACCCTGCTTTCTGCCTTCTCACCACTTCTTCTGTGAAGATCCTACGGAGGTCGTTGGAACAGCTTCACCGTCGCGCTGCAGTGACTACTGCAGTCAGTTAATGTTCTCATGTAGAGGGAGGGGGTTCACTCCTTGAGTGCTGTCAAGACCGCATTCGTTTGGACGCTGTCAAAAGCTTTTTCGTAGTCAACAGAGGTAAGGACAAGAGGCATCCGGATTCTGGGCACACTTTGAAGACTATTGCGACTGCTTGGATGTGGTCTGAGCAGCTAAATCCCTTCCGGAATCCGGCATGCTCTACAGGTTGAGCTTCCTCCAGCGTTCGCGTTATGCGGGTCAGATTAGCCTTCGTAAACAGCTTGTAAAGCACACTTAACAAGCTCATTGGGCGGTAGTTGCGAAGAACATCCCGGTCTCCCTTTTTGTTAAAAATAACCATCCGCGAGTTCCTCCACTGGTTGGGGATCTTCATCTTTTGGTGGAGGTAGGATGTCATGTGTGTTGTGAGTAGGGTATGAAGTTCCTAGCCTTCTGCACGGAGTATGTCAGATCTTATCTGGGCCAGGAGTGCTGCCCCTATCGTGTCGTCCGGACAACTTAAAGGCACTGTTAACGAATAAATGGTTTCGAAGATATGCACATGGTTAGAATTCTAAGCCCCCTCTGATAACATTTGTGCAGGAATTAGGTCATAAAACGGCTGGATAGGGCACAATAAGGCCAGGAACAGTGGGGGACGGGAGGCCTCCGCCCCTCGCAAGGCTGACTACGTGTTCAAGTTGTCCTTCACCACATTAGCACTGAAGCGAAGTTGGTGAAAAATCGATACGCTGATTGGCAAATTGCCAGGAATGGTCAGCTGGTCGACCGCCTCGTACAGGAGCTAGTTTTCGGCTGTTATTTCTATTTTATGTTTGTTATTTCTATTGTTTTTTTGTTATGAATTTTTCACGGTAGCTTTCTTCAACTATTCTCGTAAGTTTATTGAAGATTTTAACATATTTTGGGTAGATTATTGCATGCAAATGTTTTTTTATTTTAGAAACTCCGTTAATTTCAATGTGTTGTCTGTATTGCAGACATTGCGCAGCCTTCGTGCATTCTCGCTCGAACACTCATTAACCGCAGTTTTTTCAATGTGAAACTCGTCCACCCCCTCTTTCCAGCTCTTTTTTTGTCCCTTTCTAATTCTTTTTGTTCCTCGTTTTTTTGCGCTTTTTCGTTGTTATCGCTTTATTCTAGAGTAGTTCTATCTATTCCCGTCAAAAAAAGGGTACCCTTACTTTTTTGTTAACAGTGCCTTTAAAGGTCGGCCTAGCGTGGCGCGCCCGTAGTCCCGCCGGGAAAGGCACGGTATGCTGCAGGGAGCTTGAGTTGCCACATGGCAATGGACGTTGCCGCTATGCGACGAATCATTCGTCGCCGTCGTCATCGTCGCAGTCGCCTTCGAGTGCGGTTTTTGTTTGTGTGCATTTTTTCATGCCTTTTTTCACAGTATTTTCCGTATTATATCGATTCATCGATGATCGATATTAGACCGAAAGATGTTTATGAATCGTACTTCATTCTATTGTGTTGCTTGTGATAAGTGATTTAGGGTTGTTTAGATCACGCACCAAAACAACCAGGGTATAAGAACCCTCTTAGGCAGTAGGATTCACTTAACCTCCATCTTATTGGATCGGCGTTGGCGTTAATAGAGTTATCAACTACGTCTTCTTCGCTACATACGCTATATCACTGAACCACTGAACCATAATCAAATCGGTTTGGACATCCAGCAACTGTGTATCTCTACATTGTTGGTGCATCGGCCGAGCCGTAAGTTCTTAGCCATCACAGCTGTACAAGCTAAAGACTCCACTCCATTGTTGGACCTCCTGGATCAACTTCGCACACAAGATGGCTGTCAGACTTAGCGGCAAACAGCCTTGGCTCACTCGAATGAACGCGATGCTGAGGGGGACACTCAAAAAGCACGCTGTAAGCAATCATGACGGAAGCTCCGAGGAAGATTTCAACCCACACTTCTTGCGACGCCTTCGCCAAAAACGTCATGAATTGGAGATCAATATGGCAAACTTGCAACAAGCACTGGACAACTATATCGAAGCGGCCGACGAGCTCCAGCCACCACTAGATGGAAATCAGATGGCCGAAATCGAGCAGAACATTGATAGCGCCCAAGCTACACACCTAAAAGGTCAGAATCGGCTGACCGAACCCTGTTCCATCTTAGAGCAGAATGCGGACGTACCGATGTCTTCCTCTGTCTCGGAAGAAACGGTCAAACCACGTCTCGCACCACCCCACATCCGCAAGTTCGACGGGCGACTGTGGCAACGAGAGCACTTTTGGAGAGTTTTCGACGCCGTTGTCCACAAGATAGAGAAGCTGAGTTACCTGCTGGAAGCAGAGAAGCTGAGTTACCTGCTGGAAGTCCTCGAAGGGCCCGCAAAAGACACAGTCAGCAAGCTCCAAGTCACAGCAGACAACTATGACGTTGCCATCCAACTCCTCATGGAAAAATACGACAATCAGGAAGCGGTTGTGAACCATCTGCTTCAAGAGTTGCAAGACATACAACCGGCAAGCACGACAATTACCGACCAAGTGAACGCACTGGACAAAATACTTGCAATAATTTCTCAACTGGAGAGGAAGGGAGAGCGTCCTTTCAAGGACTAAGCTGGTCAACCAAGCAGCTACTTCAAGACCTTCAAGATTTTTTCGAGATGGAAGCTCAGATAGAAAACAAGAGGAACCATGAACGAAGAACTCAACTTCAGCGCTCCGTCAGTAACGAGAGCAACCAGAACTTTCCCTTGCTTCTACTGCAACGGAACCGATGATGCACCAAGATTCTGCCCGAGGTATCCTTCATTTGATCAGCGATTGCAGCTCATCAGGAAAAGAAACCTCTGTCAAAACGGTGGATCAAGCGAACATCGCACCAAAAACTGTAGTTTAGGAGAATGCCGACCCTGCAAGGAGAAGTGTCATCACATCCATCTGTCAGAAATCCTTCAATTCGCAACCGTCAACCATACAATCTGCGAAAGATGCCTAACAGAAGACTCATTCAGAAGGACATGCGACAAAGAGAACGGCTACAAAGCAAAACACCGTAGCATCAAACGCTGAAAGAAGCTCAACGTTGAGTTAGATCAACGACCAAACCAGACAACACCAGCAAGAAGCTTAACGTACAGAAGAGGATTCAGAAGACTTCTCGTTGGGCAAGCTAGAGGCTCGAACGTCAGAACGCAGGAGTTCGAAGACGTTTATAAAATGCTGGACACAGGCGCAAATCGGTCGTTCATCACGAACGACTTCGCAAAGCACCCAGGACTTCCAAGAACTGGTCAGCTCCAACCAACAATCCAGACGTTTGGCAGTAGCTCTGCGAGTAATCAATCATGTGAGAAGGCTCAGATCGAAATTGAAGACCGCCACGGTACTCGACATAAATTCGAACTGGCGAAGATAGACTTCATCACGAGAGACCTGAAACAAACTCCATTCTCTGGAGAAGATCGCCAATACATATCTTCAACTTCACAACATCAAATTGTCCATTCCGCCGCAAAGTCAAGCACTACAAATACCTATCCTACTAGGCTGTGGATTAAGGATTAAGAAGCGAACACATTCTACCTTCAGGGGTAAGACTGGTGCACTCGAAAATAGGATATCTGATCACTGGCAGGAACAATATCGGTCTCCTGGACGCACAGATAAACGAGTTTCAATCACATCCAACTGACGATGACAGCGAGCTCATGCAGTGAGACCGATATCGGAGCCTAGAATCTGTCGGAATCGAGGAAGACACAGGAACTCAAACTGAGGAACGGAGTACGATCAAAGACAAAGTCTGGAAACAATTTCGAGCTACCGTGCAACGCCATGATGATGGTTACTATGTCCACCTACCATGCAAGGAAGACGCGAAAGATCTTTCAGACAACCGAGCCATAGCCTATAACAGGCTCAAATCTATTCATTCGGAGTTCAAACAGCAGCCCGAGTTGTTGCAACAGTATCACAACACCTTACAAGATCAATTAACCAAAGGAGTGATTGAGGAAGTCGACGAAAGAGCAGAACCTGACGAACCGGTAGTTCATTATCTGGCACATCAGGCCGTCATAACGCCCACAAGGACACAACTAAGCTTCGAGTTGTTTTTGATGGCTCTGCACACTTCAGGAACTCACCATGTCTCAACGACAAACTTCACCAGGGTCCTGTCATCCTGCCTTCGCTGATCGACTTATTGCTCCTTTTTCGTACAGGAAACATTGCGGTAATCAGCAATGTGGAGAAAGCATTTCTTCAAATTCGCTTGCAAACTTGTGACCGAGACGCCACACGCTGTCTATGGATATGTGACATCTCTGAGCCGCTGGAGGCTGACAATATTGTTACCTTTCGATTCACACGTGTCAGTTTCGGGCTGAACCGTTCACCTTTTCTATTGAGGGCGACGATCGTGGAACACATTAATAATATTGAAGACCGAGAAATGGCAGAACTGATCAAGGAGAACATATACGTGGACAACCTACTCATGACTGCTGCTACACCAGAAGAAGCGCTGCAGCACTGCAACAAAGCACAGCAAATTTTCGCAAAATTGAACATGAACTTACGCCAGTTCAGAACCAGCTGCAGCATTGTCAACCAATGCCTTCCAGAAAACAAACTGAGTCAGTCAACAAAACCAAAGGTCTTAGGCCTGAAGTGGATTCCAGAGGAAGATGCATCCGTACCGCAATGCAGTTATCCAGACCGACCAATTGTAGCGAAACGGACTGTATCAGAACAAGTGGCATGAATTTATGATCCTCTTGGATAGATGACTCCATTGACGCTGAATGCAAAGCTGTTTCTTCAAAGCCTGTGGAAAAATAACTAAAAATGGGACCAGCAGTTATCGACAAAACACCTTTCCGAATAGGGATGTATTCTATCCCAGAGTCAAGGATTCACGAAACGCCTCCCAAGAAAAAAAAGCGACGGCACAACTACATCCCCAGCACACCTCGTCGCCTTTGCTGATGCAGGCAAGCAAGCCATGGCGGCTTGCGTATACTTGGTGCACAATTGTGCTCAGAGCTCCTCATTGTCAAATCAAAACTTTCTTCAATCAAGGAGACAATACCGAAACTCGAGATGAACGCGTTAACAATGGCAACTCGTCTCGCATCTACAACCCTACGAGCTCTACAACGACAGCTCCATATTCAATCAGTCACCGTCTATCCTGACTCCGGAATAGCGCTTGCATGTTATCTACACCTAAAAAGGACTGCAAAGCCGGAGTTTTAGTTCGGAATCGGTGCAGATAGATACGTACCATCAGTGATGACATGAAAAAGATGGAATCATGGTCAGATTCGGTTACGTCAACACGAGTATTAACCCTGCCAATTGTGCGACTCGCGGACTCACGAAATAAAATTTCACATCACATCTGTGGTTGAACGGTCCTCAATTCCTTGCCTGCGGTCAGAACCAATGGGCGACAACATCGGAGTTGCAGTATCGGAGACCAGACTCGTCCGCAGAAACGTTGTTATGACACATGCTCCCAACACAATACCCTCATCCGATCCCACCTGCAGCTCTTTTTCCAGTATCAGCTTCGACCCTACCACCTTCGATTCCACATCCAAACTCAATCCCACCTCCATCTCCCTCCCCACCCCCGTCCCCACCTCTACTCCTTCGTCCACATCCTTCAACCTTACATGCCAGGACAACACATACAGCCACTACTCCTCAACAGAATCCAGTACAGGAAATTGTAGACTGGAAAAGCTTCTCGTCTGTTGCACACGCAACATCTGCATTTTCATATGCCCTGAGGTGGCTCAATCGAATCACCACTCGACTCAATCGCGTCTTGAAGGACCCTATCTTGGAAAGAATTCCGCATTTGCGCGAGCGCTACAGCGATGAATTTACTACTGTTTCGGAGCGCCAGCAAGCTCTTCTGTTGCTCATACGTAACCACCAGCGTTTACATGTGGAAGGAAAGACCAGTCTGAGCAAAGAGCGCCTAGTGCCAGTCTCACATTCAGATGGGACTCTCAAATGTAGAGGACGTCTACTGAATTCTGGCTTGTCCGAAAGTAGTAAACAGCAAATACTTTTAACAGTAACAGCAAGTAACTTCAATAACAGTAACCGCAAGCACCACTAGCAACGCTCGTTATTCAAGATGCCCACAAACGTTTTCATTTGGGGACAGCCCATACTATGGCTGAGGTACGAAGTCGTTACTGGATCCCACAGCTAAGCCGACAAGTCCAGAAAGTCATACGACGTTGCGCACCATGTCAACGGGTGAACAACCTACCGTATTGATATCCAACTTTGCCCGACTTACCATCACGACGTGTCACAAGAAGCCGACAGCAGGCCGGAATGGACTATTTTGGACCAATTGCGACCAAATCCAGTGATGATAAGTCGAAGACTTACGGGATCATCATCACAGTGACTCGACGGATCCATCTGGAATGTGTGCCCGACATGTCAACAGTGCAACTTCTTGATGCACTTCGCCGACTTTTCGCTCGTCGAGGAGTACCTTAAACGATTACGTCGGATAACGCTCCGTACGTCTCGCTTGGAAATCGGATCCTCCGCGAAGCTGCTTCTCCATTGGCACAAACCTCAATGTTATCAGCAATGATAGCAACCAAAGGAATCACTTGGCAGATGATCACCCCTTACGCTCCGTGGCAGGGAGCCTTCTATGAAAGGCTCATCAAGGCCATAAAACATTCTCTATACAAAACCATCGGAAAACATTCCTCACCTTGAAACAGCTCACGACACTGCTAACAGAAATAGAAGGGACGCTGAATGCACGTCCACTAAAGTATCAAGAGGAACATTGGGATGATCGCCCAATACTTTGCCTAATCGATTTCATACAGCGTGACCTGATCATCACACACCCAATGGATGGACTTGAATCTACAGACGGTCCCACCTACCATCCATCAGAAGACACTCTGCAGTTACGCACCAAACAAGCAGAGGAAGCGCTACGAAGCTCATACCACTTAACAGAACAGTTCTGGAAGATCTGGAGAGAACAGTATCTCGCCTTCCTGAGAGAGCAGCACACTCGATACCTCGCCAACAATCATGGCACAGCAAAGGTTCTCACGGAAGGAACAGTTGTTTTTTTGATGGATCCTAACCTTCCCAGAAACAGTTGGAAAATTGGCCGCATCACGAAGGTTCAACCCAACGAAGAGGGCGCTATACGTGAAGTCGAACTGATACTAGCAAACAAGAGCACAACGCGACGCCCAATCAACCTACTCGTACCACTCGAGTTGGACGGAAACGAACAAGTATCTAAGCAGTACACGAGTAATCGTTTGTCTACTTCGACGGCAAACGACGACGACCTAACCGAAGAAAATTCATGAAGGATCAACTACGTGTGGGCCCGGAGTATATCGATTCATCGATGATCGATATTAGACTGAAGGATGTTTATGAATCGTACTTCATTCTATTGTGTTGCTTGTGATAAGTGATCTAGAGTTGTTTTGATCACGCACCAAAACAACCAGGGTATAAGAACCCTCTTGGGCAGTAGGGTTCACTTTATCTTTCATCTCATTGGATCGGCGTTGGCGTCAACAAAGTTATCAACTACGACGTTCTTCGCTACATACGCTATACCACTGAACCACTGAACCACTATCGAATCGGTTTGGGCATCCAGCAACTGTGTATCTCTACACGTATCGTATTTAATCCTTTTTTCTTATCATACTTAGTTGCCATAAAACAGTATAACTTATAATGGGTGCTTTTCGTACGTGAAGTGTGGTAATATCCATATATATCAGCCTCCCTATGCGCACAGGGACCGTTTGTTGGCCATGGAATACCGTGCGAACAGCGTCCGAGGGAGCTCGACGCTAGTCTAACAACCCCCTCAGCGTACTGCGGAGGCAGAACCAGCCCGTAGGAGCTCGCAAGGGAGACTGGGGCAGTTCAGGCCTACCAAGTCCGTGCAGCAGTTGAATACGAGCATGACGAGCGGGCAGAAGACCGCGGTCACCTAGCTCACGCCGCTGGGGTCGCCCTACCGAGCAACCACCAATGCTGAAGGCCTCGGAGGAAGATCCCGACGGCGCAACAGCCCCTTTTCATGCTCGCAATCGCAACTCCCACCTCCGAAAGAAGGATCCGAGGCGCTGTCCTGCCAGTGGGGATTTTTGGTTTTCGCACGTGTGTTGTGGATCGATACAAGTTAGTGTGAAACCTCCGTGTAACTTCCCCATCTCGAATCTTGATGTTGTAAGTGTTCAGCACTTCTTCTCCAAACTTAATACTGTGGTCCTAATGATCTCTATGGCATTTTTCAGAACAAGTCTGTTCGAGACTGCCTCTACAAGTCTCCTCTCCCTGTGGAGCTGAAGGAGTGCTTGTCTGCAGCTGATATTCGCTTGCAGCCCTTTAAGATGTTAAGCGAACTGTTTGACCTCAAGTTTCTTCTTGTCTTGAGAAGATGCTTTGTTGCATCTGAAATGCGACCCGGAGGTATCCACTCGAGGAAGCTTGACCTGCTCATCAAAAGTGAAGAGGCCCCGAACTAGTGCATCTTCGTTCGGGACAAGGCGTCATTGAGAACATCTCCATCGTATACATGCTTGGAACTCTGCGCTAAGTTGAACGATCTTATCCAGCTTGTGACTGAATCCGATCTTAGCGCAAAGGAGTCGATGATCAGAACCACTACAGAAAGATGGTACCACACCAACATCTACTAAGCAACACTTTCTGTTTGTTAATATGTGGCCCAGTTCAGAATGAATTGTACCGTTTGGAGACTCCCATATCCAGCGGCGATGCTCTTTCTTCTGAAAGAGAGTTTGTGGAAGAGTCGAGCTACGGACAGCAGTCCAGCTAGACGATTTCCGTTCTCGTTCCTATACCCCATTCCAAACTTTCCAGTCCTGATTTCCTCCTGTTGTGCTTCTTGTGGTTCGCCAAGCCTAACGTCGAAATCTCTAACAACGAATTTGTAAAAAGATTTTCGTTGTGGATAATCTTCACAAGTTGTCGTGAAATGCATCGTCAGCTGCAGAGTGTGAAGAGTAGCAGTTAACGATAATTTCTTCAGTTACGAATGTGGTGGGTGTAGGATGGCAAAGGGAGGAGACAGGACCTCGTGAGACTCGACGAGATGGACGACAGATGGATGCACAACGAAACCAACACCGTCGAAGTTTCGCGATGGAAGCTTTTTACCACGAGTGGTGAGCGTTTCCATCATTCCTCGGTTCTCCTGCTCCTGCTCTGGTCCTCCTGGTTTCTTGCAGCGCAATTATACGATACTTAATGTGGCCAACCGCATCGAGGAGCTCATGAAGAGCGGCATTGGAAGAGACTGTTCTCGCGTTGTAGGTATAGAGTAGGAAGCATCTCCGTGTCGTGTGGAGGGAGTGCTGTCATGGTCCGAAATCCAAGGCGTCCTGCGCAACCCGAGATTTCTTTGCCTCTCATTGGTCGCCACACCGTCCGTCGCCGGAGACGGCTGGGCTCAGTGTGCGGAGTACTGAGGCTTATTTATTGCTGTTTGAGCGAGCATGCTCCGTAGAGTCTCAACAGTGCCTAGCCGGGCCAGTACTGAGTCTTTACCATCGTGGCTATAGCCATTCTGGATCAGAGGGAGCTGAGGTGGCTTACTCTCAGCCGTTCAATCATGCAAATGTGCCGTTGAACTATCATATAAATAGATATTTACATAAAGAGTCATTAAAATCTATGAAGGCCCCAAAGCAAACTCCTCCGAGCAGTGGAAAACTTATGCGAGATATTTCAGACCATACAAGCCGACATCTGATGGTAGTGACGAAAGCATGTGGCAGGGCCACGGGACGCCTCCCCTTTGGTATGCGGTATTTCCCCGAGCGAGTTCCGGTCCTCAACCCGGAGCGCGATGACCTAGACGTAACGTACCGTGGTTTGCTATGCGCAACTACGCGTGAAGAACGAATGAAACCCCGACCTCGGGAAAACGGACAAGAGGGACTCAAGCAAGGGGGCCGCCATCCCTCCAGTTCCTCCCACAGCTTTGAACGCGAAGCGGCAAGTCAGTCAGGATAATCCGCATGCTGAAGGACAGCTCTGCATTACAGCATGTGATAAAGTACTAAAAATTGGAAAGAAAACGGAAATATTACTGTTACATAAACCAAAATCACTCGAAATCGGACGCGTCTACACGCTTAAACGCCACCCCGCCACCCCCCTCCCCCACCACATTGAGGTGGTGGACCAGAGGGGCCCCTGTGACTATATCTGATCGATCGAACTCGATCGAAGCCGGAAATCAACCGTTCTGTAATTTTTTGAACGGTCTTCATACCGATAATGTCTGCGTTTCATGCAATACTACTGTATTGGAGCGGTGCTGAAGTGATGTGAACAATAGCCGCCAGAAATGCGACGTTCAGATGGCTCAGAGACATGCATGATATGTAGAAAGGAATCTAACGTCATGGTTTTTTCGCATAGCAACTCACACATGCTGGATTTTCTGATGTCTGAGCTCACAAAAGCCCAAGATAGCTGCCGGTGACACTCCACTAATTCCACTACTTTCACTTCTACTCTTCACTGATCTTATAATAGATAGTCGCATGATCTTTTTTGGAAATATGCTGTACATTCAGCATCCACGAACGATCCTTGTCAAGTCAAACGCGTACCACCTCTGCACAATGAACTATGTTGGCTAGTAAAAATAGAAGATCATTCCGTCAACGTGAAAAGCTCCAATACCAAAATTTTGAACTTACATGCATGGAATATAGAGTAGTGTGTCATTTGACACGATCCCATCGCACTAATTCGAGAATACAGTTTTTGGCTCCGAAATGATTTCGAAGAATTTGAAAATCATCACACTTTATTCACTGACAAGAAAAAAAGCAAGTAACAATAACCGGAGAACCATTTGTAACGAACTGCAGCAAAGGAAGTTCAAAAGCATCTCATAGAACATCTCTTCGAGAACCTTCCCTTCCGACTATCACTCAGGAAAATTAAACCCTAAATAGAATACTCGCATAAGAACAGATAAATAGGAATACTTCGAAAAAAAAGCGCAGAAGAAAGGAGGTCTAAGAACAGAATCGAGGGTTATCAGCTTTGAATAGACCTCAAATCTCTACGACTAAAACGTGGAACAGTGAGAACTGCGTAGTACAAATTCTGACTAATGAATTATTGGTGCAGTTGTTATGATGAAAAGGCCAAGCTGCTTGGCTATTGATAGGGTAGCTGGAACCACTTTGGAGGCATTTTTCTCGAAAGCCCATCCTTAGAAAGCATCGCATCACAAAGAACAAAGAAGTGTGCAAAGCTTCTAGATAGCTCTTCGCAATGCTTAAAAAACATATCCGTGCACCTGCATGCTTTTCGTAAACGTGGTGAGAGTGTAGCGATACCCCGAATATCAGTGCTATACATCCAACTAGCAGGTTTTTACTTTTTGAAGATGGCTGTCTACTCCACCAATACACTCGCAATGCACAGTGCCTCAACGAATGACGTTCAAACAAACCTGATATCACTTTGCTCAATTATGCGCTTACTACTTGTCTCTCGAGAAAACGGATTACCTTTTCAGAATTTGAACGACGTCTTCATCCACCAACACATGTTCCCTACCGACCCGTTGTGGATTGTGCTTTGCCGAGGCGCCCCATACTAATGCACTGAAAGTCATGCCACATTAATTTTAACTGCAAGAGTTCTGTTATTACAAACTACATTATAAGACATTTTAAGCTAAGAGATGCAAATTAAGTTGATCAAAACGTCTAAATGAGCTAACATACTTCTTAAAGTCCTTCTGTAATGATTTATGAATTTTCAAGCACAAATCATCAACCGTGTTCTTTTCGGCGTTCAGAACAATTGGAGCCGAATAGTCCGGTAATTGTCCCTTCGGTTTAGTGTAACTGAAAACCGAAAAAGTAATGAAAACGGTAAACATGCGGGAAATATCTGAACGGGTAACAGGGACAGTTGTTTGACATCTTCAGCGCAATGTATTCTGCACCCACGTCATGCTGCGGTGAAATGAATTCCCAGTTCGAGCTGGTCAATTTTACTCATCTCTCTTGTGGAAAGTGCGGGCTCAAATAAAGAAGGTACAATAGCCTAAGTGAAAAAGAAAATGGAGGGATGAAGAGGCAAATGGTAAGTTAGTGATGGAAAAAAAAACGACTCATACTCGTAGTGTCAGGCCCTCGTTTTCTATTTGTTTTCGAGGGCAGTGTAGCGGAGAAGAGTGCGTTCGTGATACAGGGACCGTCATTCGAAGTCATCCTGGGCCATATTTCCGTGCATGGTTATATCGCTAGTAGCGTGCTTCCCATCTCAAATAGTCGTATAGGTATGATGCGGCACATGATCACCCTCTCTGCTATGCATGGATTTCCAACCTACACTCTAGATTTACCGTATCCGCTGTCTGAATTGCCAGTGTTTCTTCTTACATCGAAAGTGCAACTGTGCAACTCACTGACTCATCAATTATCCCAAGTAGTACCTTTAACCTACAGGCTACCACACTTGGCCAATGAAAAGACAAGATAGGCCAAAACGGTTCAAAAGCAAGGAATGGATGCTCTTCGTTATTAATTTTCCCTTGACCAAATGTATATTATTTGTAAATCCACTGTTCTATTGAAGAGAAAATGTCGAAGACGGACTAAAATCGAAAAGTATGCACCGGAATCCTCAATAAGCAAAACTATCAAAAAAAAAAAAAAAAAAAAAAAAAAAAAAAAAAACCTCGAAGCAGATTTTTAGGTTCCTTAACCACAAGTCTTAGCTCTTTAGTCCATCCTCCCTCTGAATCTCATACTTAATGTGACATCCCTTCTCCTACCCACCTAACTCCCCACCCTCCTCCCCTATCCCAATGTTGATTACCTCTATGACCTTGTATGCAGTGTAGCGGCACATCCACAGCTATCCATCCGTCCAAACCTCACCGCCCTAGCTTAGTTGCCAATCGACAATTCTTCCAACCACCAATTTGCAACTAATACCATAATAGCTACCAACCTAACATAAGCGTGAGGTTTACGCAGGTTTGTTTTGGGTCGCCGCACACCGTAAACTGCCGCTTAAAGCACCGAGGCCGCCATAGCCAAACAGTAGCCAACCAAACATGATAAAACAACAATCCAGTAGAATAGAGCCTCACATTCGGATCAGATTCAAGTATTGCCACATCTTTTCAAGTAGATCGTCGAAATTCCACTTATGATGAGCCGATATCGGCACACAATGCGGTATGCGGTAGATTATGTCGAGCTCTTCAATCGATATCTGATCTATCTGAATCGATAGAAATCAAACACTAACTTTCGAGAATGATAAAATACAAATCAAAAACTAGAGCTGAAAAGATTTATGTATATGCACATCTGGTAAGAACGAGTAAGAGTCGAGAGAGAGAAAAAAAAACAGCCAGCACAAAAATGATATAAAGATATTATGTAAAAGAGTTCCTACCTTATTCAAGACGTAAATGCATGGAATATAAACTCGATTGCCTTCAATGACATCGATCAAGTCTTCAGAAGTTGCGTCATACCTGACAGACAAACAAGATCAGAAGATCACTGCGATCGGAGCAGTACGCCAAAATTATTATCAGGAGTCTCACGACGTGTTCGAGCCTCTCAAAGGCAGATATACTGCTCAAGAAAAGTAACATGGGAGATTACCTGAGGGTTATATCAGCATTATGAATTTTGTATTCCGATAAAATACTCTTGACCGCATCCAAGTCAAGTTCACTTTGTGGAACCTACAAAAGATCGATTTTAAGGTATTGCTCTTTCAGGCTTTTTGAAAAAGCAAAACAACAGGAAGATGCTTTACAGTAGTCATCACTTCTCTGATGAACAGGATCGTAGTCCCCGAAAAAGTGAGAGCGTTTCGAAACTTTTTGGAATGTTACCCATCACGCTTGATGCATATCGACTCTTACCTAGTTGGAACTCAAACCGATGACCATCAAATACGTAGAGTTGGAATGCCAACAATGGGCTGCACACGTCTATAGTAACCACACCGAACGCTTGCTCAACTTAGTTTCTTTCCAAGCAGTTGGTGTTCGCTACTTTATCTTTGCGGGTTAGCGAAGAGGATACTGGATAGATTCGCTCTTTGATTGCCTTTACAACTGCGCTAAAATGATTGCAGATCGCTGACGGATTGCAGCTAAAGATACAACTTTTGTGCTCTCTGGGAAAGGTCTTTTTCCGCTTCGCTTTTCGTCACATTATATACATATCTGTTGGAGCTGACTATTTGATGCGCTGTTCTTCTCAATCTGACTCCTCACCAATGCACAAACACCTCAACACCAATTTCTGTACATGTTCGTAATACTGCACGTCTAACAACTCTGGGATGCCCACATTATCTGAGCAATGAAACTCATGGAGCTCCCTTTTCTTGGAGTCGAAGTGAAAACGAAACATTAACCAACGTAACAGTAATACATAACCTGAGCATCAGTGCTAGTACTCTAGTTCCATTCGAACCATGAAGCACATAGCGATAACCTGCGTTAGCCGCTCCTTGTCGGAAACATCTTTCGAACGACTAAAATATTTAGCAATTCCAGCTTCCTCTAAGAGGAAAAGTCATTATTTCATTCGCTCTATCCAAACGTCACACGTACTGCTCTGACTGTTCTAAAACTAAATGCAAAGTACCGTTGATGGTAGCCTTGGACTGAAGATGGTCTTTGAACACGTCCAATAGTTCTACAGCACTCTTGGTTGGAAACCTACTTGAGTGCATGCGATACAGGAACTGTTTTATGTTTGACAGATATTGACTTAGGATTCTTCTAAAGAACAATGAAATACGGCCGGTCAGCGCATTATCGCATCCAATTACAACAACCTTCCTGAAAAGCCTGTAGTGACTGCAAGCTTCCATTGGACTTCTCAGGGCTATCTCAGGCTATAGAAGACTGGCACAAGAGCGATAGAAGTCGGAAGAGAAATGACTGCTACCAGAATTACTTAGCCTCTGTACGCCCCTCAAAGAGTTGTACTCGTGTAGGGTGTGATTGTGCTTTACATCGGATCCCACAGGTGTTTCGATTTACCTCTAATTTTTTCCCACGTTCCATGCTGCGACAAGACTCTTCTTTTGAAACGCGCTTCGACCCGATAATCACACAAAGCAACTATGAATGGATATCTTTGATTCTGGTCTGTGTATCGGGTAGACTGCACATTGATCCTCAGCGTTTATTCATAATGAAACTTCGTGGAAAAATTACCGAAATACATGCGCGAGTAACAATGAGCAAACCAGCATGAATGGTGCTTTCCCCTATATTGCACTTATTGAGCTTTGATAATGAGAAACGACACCTGTAGGATCATAACCTATTAATGGTGAGTAAAATGAGTAAACCAATATGAATGGTGATCTTTTCCCCTCCCGACCAAAGCCTTATTTGCACTATTGTCTCCCATTTGTCAGTTGAGGAAGCGCTGAATGTAGGTGAAACTGGGTAAGTCGGTGTTAAGTCGGCGTTGAGTGGCCCCCTGTTGAAATTCCAACTCTGTTTCAATTCGATGGATCGACTTGCAATTGGTCAAAGTTTGATCTGTGGAGAATGTCATAAGGTTCTCAGGCTCTTATGACGACAAATTCTGCTGGAACGATTGACAAAATAAATATTCCACTATTGAGAAAGCTGTTTGGCACAGGAGCGCTGACTAATCCTACAACAAAAATCCAGGTTGCAAAATAAGTGGAGGTTACCTCAGAATATAGCAAAAAAGGTCTCAACGCCTATAAAACCGAAGATATAACGGTTGTTAAGGAGTTTGTAAAACGATTACAGCGCACTCGGTGATTATTTTGCAAGGGAGTTACTAAGGAAACATTCGTACGCGAGCCAGGAAACACAAGAGATAAAACTTCGAATGTCGACTAATCAAATGATTCTATGAAGTCGACACCACTTCAGAGTTTGAACTATGTTCATGACGACCTTGACTCCTAAAAATAATTAACAGCGGCAGTAAACCTATTTCATAAATGACTACATTTTTCGAAAGTCTGGCTAACATGCCAGAACCGATCCCACCGATCAGGCAAAACAGGATGTGACGCCTCTAATCTCGAAACCTGCTCTTGCAACACATTGATCACCCTTACCTAATCCTGTGCGAATACTTAAACCTGTTCCATTGGTTCAGATTCCTAATATGGGACCTCACGCAAACATGTTATTATTTTCCCTCAAGGTCTTCCATTTCCATCTAATACAGCCCAGAAATCAGACTCGTGGGAAATTCGATTTAATGTACGCCTTTTCATCTCTTTGTTTCAGAAGCCATGAGGTCTTCAGAACATGGCCGTCGGAGATACGAATTGATTTCGTTTCCAGTTCGCCTGTTCAAACCTCCCTCTCCCAGGAGTTTAGGTGAGAACAATTCTTTTTTACAAGCATCATATCAACCAAAGCGGTTCTCCTTTGCTTCATAGCATTTACTAACAAGCAAGAATGTGAAAAACTGCTTCCTTGTGTCGGCTTTTAGAATGCCCTTTGCACCTAACGTCTATCTAGAAATACCGGATGTGGAAACTTGGATACGACTGAGATAAATTCATGTACGATTAAGAGCACTTCACGCCTAGGTGCGAAGTGACCTCGATCATACCTAAACTTATGAACCGGGAAGGAATGGGCAGAGGTGAGGGATGGTCAACAAGTGAAACGAAGAAGATTCACCGTCGGTGGGCGGAGCGTTCCCGCAGTGGGCGGTATTTACCACATGAGATCATAACTCGATTCAACGGAAGCGCGGAGGTCAGGAAAAAAGTAAAAGATGTGTGCAACTCTATGCCGGACGTACTTAAACAGGTCAAAGCAGCGTGCATTCAAACGTTAAGTCCTTTTTGAAAAAACTCATAACTGTTTAAAAACATTCGAACGTAGAAAGCAAGTAGTTGTAGGCTATCGAGAGAATGTTGTCAAATCCCTTAAGTGGGCGGGGATTGCACTGAAGCTTTCGGGGCTAGGATCAAAAGTTCATAACTCCGTTCAAAAAGTTCTAGAACGCGGGAAAAGAACTGTTGGAAGTTGAAGGAATGTGGTTAAATTCCCGGAGTGGGCGGAGCGTGTACTAAGATGGGCGGGACTAAAATCGAAAATTCATAACTATGATTGAAAACGTTCTAAAACGCGGAGTAAATGCTTAGGTGCAGCTAAAAGAGAGTGTGGACGTTGCAATTTCAACCACTAATAATTTTGCATAAAAGAAATATGTACGTATATCGAGCAAGATGCTCTCAAACCGGTTAACCGGTCAAATCTAGAGAGAATCATCCTATTCTGTTAATCTAAGACTGCGCTGAATAACTCTATCGTACATAGATGAGCTGTCGTTGACATATAATGCAGGCTTTAGCGTGCATAGCCCAATTGGTGAAATAATAAAGGAGGACAGAACAATGAACTCTCATTCACGAAAATATCCAGATTTTTGAACATTCGTGGTCCTCGAGAAAAAGCACCACAGTGGAGGTCACTTGAGGGTGTAAATACAACTTGTTGAGAAAAGGAAGCCAATTGTGAACTGAAGTACCTACACGAGGAGACCTCGAAGTCACTGTATTAGCTTGAAACTTAGTCAAAGGCATGCAACTTTCAGATGGATTAATGCACATAAATCAAATCTAAAGGATAGAACTCCACATCACAACTTTCCGCAGTCTACAAAGCAATCCGAAAGCACTGATGCTCGAGAATGCTGATGGCTATGCAGTTCCTTGACTTGCTTGGCCTGTAATGGTGAGTTCTATGTCAACTATTCCAAAGCTGTGCAAGAATTTTCGCTGTAAGCTCTGGAATGTTATGAGCATCTAGTTTTTTTTCAATTAAGACCCCCCATTTTATAATTTCCTGGTATCGACTTATATTCAGATATTCCAATCACAAGTAGTTCCCTCATCGAATATCTTGGACCTCATACATGTGAGCAAATTTATAGCGCGTTCGTAACTCCTTTTTTCGATACTTCCAGTCCAAGCTCCACATCGCTTAAGAAAGCCGATAAACGCTCGTGAAAAGAACGAATATTCCTAGGCGAAAAGGAGACGGAAGGGGAGATCGATAGGTACTCGCACAGCCTCCAGGGAGAAAATGGAGCCAGTTGGGAGAAAAAACACCGAAACCGACGAAGCTTCTGATGCAGAGCACCGGAGAGAATGTTTCATCTCACCAATACCAATCAGTGGAACGATTGGAGTTCTATCAAAGGGAGGTCCTCTGACGAATGGGGTGTATGCAAATAATTGAAAAAATTATAACATAAAATTTTTATTTCGCCTGGAACAACAATCAAGTTTTTTCTCGAATACTGATTCCTACCAGGTGAGAAGCAAAACTTGGAAATGGGCACATATAAAAGAGGGTTCCGAATAATTTATCATTATGTAATGATTTCTCATCGAAGGGTTCCTTTTTCGCTAATTTTAATAGAACAGGCACCACAGCTGCCAATTATGGCCTACATATTTCGAGGAAGGGATTCATTGCGAGTGGGTGGGTTTAATTTATTTGAGCCATTTCACAAGTTTTCAGGTTTTCTTCTCTACATTTACGCCAAAATTACAAACTCAAAGACTGCACAAAATGACTTTAATCAAGTCCCCTCGGAACTCAAAATAATAGTAGCTAAAACTGCAAACATGCACATTCGCATTTTTAGAAAATACCCCGACTTCACTCCACTGCACAGTAATTCAACAAACGGCTCTGCTTTTGAAAAATGTCCCAATGCCTGAAGGTGTAATCCTGTACTTCACAAGAGCCCTTATTGGACTGGTCTTATAGTCGAGGCAACTACCGGAAAGAACGAAAAGATTACTTGATTACTACTATAATCATTTCGTGGATTTGAGGAATGGTCAGATGGATTGCCATCTTTGTTACGAAGATGTATCATAAATTCAAAGGTGTTCTGAAGGGTGTGGAGTGAAAGACTTGATTTCAAGTGATCTACACCACCATCTGCGGAAAGATTAATCTCCACATTGCCAGAGCAATACTAGAGAAAGGAGAAACGTTCAGGTGTAAAATCCAGTGAAGACCTACATTTCGTCTAAAAAACGCCAGATATGCACTGTCGTTCATGTTCTACCTATCATTAGCCTGAACTCTGCGCAGAATGATGGACCATACTATGGCACTTACCTCCAATTCATAGACGGAAACTGGCCCGAAAACAGCGATTACCCAGTCTCATGTGTCGATCAACGTCGACTATGTGTCGGATAAATTTTCACTAATAGACTTCACAGCACTTCTCACCAACACACGAATTGTTTTCTATGACAGCATGATCTATATGGGAAGAGCTGGCTTAAGTTTAGGACTAGTGGCCTCTCATTTTGGTCAACCAGTCCTTTCATATTGATCGATTGACCATTCAATATCCTGAACATTGTCTAACTTTGCAGATATGATGATGATAACATCTCAAGTTATCCCTTCCTAACCTTAGAAACCTTTTGACGAATTTCGTGAGCTTTTTTCTCCAAGTTCCACCCAGTAGTGTTCCTTTCCTAACGTAGAACCTACTTCATAGTTTCCAAGCCCAGATGACAGAACCTGATGACTATCTTCCTTATCTTTTCAGGAAACGAGACACCTTCGTAATAAATGGGTTTCCGAAGGAGTTTTGATGGTATCCACCTCTATAGTCACACAGGCTTGTACCAATACCATCTCAACACGACTACCACGACTACGCTTCATACACTCCCCTATTTAGATCATGACCGGACTTCTGAAAGAGAAAGATTCCCCTCATCTGAAACGATCCTAACAAAAGCCCCTCAAATCTCGACCATTAAGTTTTGGAATAGATGAAATCATTCTATCGGCTAAAAGAAGAGCAGTGGATAACTTCGTTCCTTCGGCTTTCCGCAACTCCGTCAGATTTTTTCGCAGCCTCGGCCAAAAGGTTTTTGCTAGTCTCCCATGGAACTCGCGCCATCAGCTGCCTGCCCTTTTAATTTGATTTCAACAATCAGAAAAACGCTTGTGAATCATCAGCACGGCTCAGCAGAACACAATATCCATTGGCTATTCGTAGCAAAAGCGTCTCCCCTGCAAAAGGTGACATTGTCTGAGTGGAACTTGCTGCTCCGTAGATATTTCCAAGCACCAGCTCGGATTCATTTTCATGTGAACTCGAACAGGGATTGAACACGGGATTGAATCGAACATAAGCCGACTGCGATATGGGCCAATGAGAAAGCAAAAAAATGTAGTGCAACCTAAGCACTTTCAATGAAAGTCATGAGAGGCGCGTTTGAAAACATCGGTAGGCTACCATCCTGATATTACAAATTTTCATCGAGCCAACATTTAAGGCTAAACTATATCACCTCTCCTATCAGACACCACACTAACATTGAGAATTTCCGTGCTTGTCAACAATGAACCCCTCCGCGTGTTCTCCTTAGAACTTTGAGGGTTCAATATTCAAATGGTTGTCGTGCATATACGTTGGCGAACGACCCACTGTTTCATTGCTTACACTTTGCTCTCCCGAATGAATCAGGTGCCCAGCACTTAGCCAATAAATGTTTTGATTCAATTCTGTGGATTATATGGGGATCATTCAAAATTCGATAGTGCGCACCTTTACAACTACCCTTCCACCGCGATTAATCCATTTTCCAATACAGAGGGTCGGGTTACTATTTGCAAGAAGCGACTTCCTGAGTTCCTCTAGGTCGTTACAGCTGTCACAAACTGATAAGAAATTAGAACGATTCAGGTTTGACCTAACAAGGGGTTGAGAACGAGGAAAAGTATAGAAATAAAAAGCGTATCAAGCGATCCCCACCAACTGTGTCAGATTGATCCCTCCTTTTTCTTTCTTCTTGAATCCGATATTCGGTGGTTGCTTGTTTAGACGAATTCCAAAGCCTTCCAACTCATATTCCAATAGTTGCTTATGCTTCAGCGGTTTCATCACATCCAACACCATCAGAATCAACGAACACGTCCGAGCAACTGAATTGAACGAAGCGTTTTTTTTTCACTTTACTTCAAAACACTTTCATGTGCCATCCATCATTCTGAGACCCAGCTAACGGACATTTTTCAATGCACCACGAAAACACTGCATTCTTTAAGTAAGCCCTTTTATTCACGAATCATGGTTGCCAAACTGCGACTGTGGCAAAAGATGGCCGATTAGTGCGAGTGCCTGTTAAGTAGAAAGCCATTTTGTGAATTCGTCTACTACTGCTTTGCCATACCAACGCCTACTTGCAGAAATGAGGAAAGTTTAAATTGCGGGTGTTCCGATAGGTAATAAAATTAAAAAACGAAAAATGGTGACAGAATTCTAGAACAATAACGACTCCATAAGAACTTCTACCTCAATCGGTTTCGCAAGGTCTTAAGATATATGGATTATGCCTACGCACATTTGATAGGTTCTCTCTGACAAGAAGTGCGTAGAATAGGAAAAAAAGCGGATAGGTTATATAGTCGATTTTTAAAGCTTTTGGCAAAATTTTTTAGTAATGTCCCTGCCAAACCTATCTTTGAGGCCGTTGAAGGGTACTGTCCCTGGGCCGGGAGTGAACTGGTCCTATTCACAGTTGGAAAAGTGTACTTGGAAAATATTTGACAGTATGTACATTAAGCAAGTTTCAAATGTGATCAATTCGACGATTTTTTTTTTGAGACCGCTCTTGAAAGGAGAACAGTCAATTTTTGGGGAAGGGTAGATTTATGTCTATGCCGTTCTCTTCTAGTAGACATTTTTTTATGAAAACCAATGTAAGGAAAAGGAAAAGGAAACAAATGAGAAGATTGCTTTTGAAAAATGTTTTTAACAATTATGTACGCTTCCGCGATCCATATACAAAAATTAACTTCCTTTGATTTTCTGAGAAGTTAACCGAAGATCCCAGCCAAGTATTGACGTCACAGTAGCTATTGGAAAAGTCTTAAAGCTTCCCAATAAGCACAGACTTCCTTAACGACAACGAAGATCAGATCAGCAAAGTAAACCATTTCACATTTATCACAGAGGTGGAAGCAGGTAATCCTCATTTTCCTCATGAAGCGCTGTAGAAACTGAGCCCAATTATGATTATGCTCAACCCAATCTTCGGATAAGAGTCCTAACTAATATTTCAGAGCGAATATCCGAGTGAGGGCATAAAATAACAGCTTTTTTGCACCGCCACTTTCTGACCTTTTCACATCGCTCTCTAAATGAAAATTCGAATCCTTTCTGCATTGGGAGAAGCCCTCACACGTTCCGACCCACTCGTCGCTTTGACGCTCTCCCAATATTTCCCATCAAGCACTAACGATATGAAAAATAAGAGGTGCATCAGACTGGATGAACCCTTTGTTACCCCTTAAAATCTAATTGGGTACTAATGAACTGAACAGCACTTGCAGAAGCTTCGAATACGTTAGGTAAGCTGCAGCTCTGGGCTACTTCAAATTGAGCCAGAAGATAAAGGCACACTCAAAAACGGTTGAGCTGAATGAATCAATTTCGTTAGTTCAATATTGAATCCTGATAATGTCAAGAACTTATTGTAATAGGTACGACACCACCAAGATCCGGGCTACAATAGAGAAAAACGCTGTAGCAACACCAAGCCGTTTGTTAGGAATTGCTCGATCATTTTCGTAACCTCCCTCATTAACGTTTTCCTCCTACATATGTTAGCCATTGGCTAATTATTTTTTCCACTTCAATCATCGTTTCTCTCTTAGCAAAGCTTCTTCTGCCATTTTAAGAGTCCTCCAGAGGAAGACCTGAAGTGGCGTTTTCTGCGAAAACTCAGAATTCAGGAAATCAGCACCTCCACGGCTTCGTCTTCTCGTCACTCACTCACACAAACACTTCAGGACAAAACGCCTTCTCGAACATCCATGATTCCCTATGATGCTGAAAATCCCGTCTTTGTTCAGTTCGTCTGACGGCTACATGTCAGCGAATTGCGAACTGCAGACTTTCAGCATCATTGATGGAATTCTTTTGCACTATAGAACGGCATCTGCCAGCCGATACCCGCACTTTCTCATCATGTTCATGCACAGCAGAATAGCGCTGCTTTTTAATATATGCTGGCTGGGTGTTTTAGGCAAGAGCGACAACAAGTTGAAAATCTCCTCTGTGTTGGGGAATTGCCTGGCATGCAACGATTCATGGTCCGTTACTCATAGGCATTGCCCCGCCCCATTATGATCACATGGCGCATGACTCCGCCCCTCACACCATCCTTACTTCTCGCCAAATTTGTCCCTTCGAACCTTTCCCATGCATATCGACTCGTTCCAAGGTCTTCGCTATATCTCGCCTTTTTTTACATCAAAGTCTCATACATTGCATTACATGCAGTCCAAGTCAGCAGTCGCTTCTCACGGCTCCTTCCCTCTTCTGAATGAATCACCCGTCTTGTATGTCTTGCACCATAAATTGCCCCTTATAGTTACTGTTTCGGACTCTGAAAGGATTTCAGTCAAGAACAAACAAAATCGTCTCCTCGGGACAAACTCGTCGCCCCCTCTTTCCAGGAAAGCTTGGGCCTCTAGTGAGCTTCACTCCTAGACAATTCTCGCCATCGCCCTATCACTTTAACAACTAGATGCAATATGCGCGATACGGCTTTCCAACCTAAACCTACAATCTACGATGAAATTTCGTTTTACAATTCTATTACGGCGAGCAGTTCGAAATTCAGAAACAACTCCCCAGGGTTTTACGCGTTTATATAATTGATGTATGTATTTAGGCCAGCACTCACTTCGTTCAAACCATTTACCCTTGAATGAATAATGAACTATGGTCCATCATTCAACTTGAATTTCACTAGAAATGAATTTCGTACCTCAATTAATCACGCTTAGATGGTCTGAGACCATACCGGGGTGTGCTTTTCAAAGCACAGATTGCGCTTGAGGTGTGTGATGTGATAGTGTTTGCTGGAGATTCCGAGTGAATGAGGAATCAAACCCATCAGTAAAGTACAATTCGAATAGCTACCGCAAAACCATTGTATTTAAGGATGTGTTCAACATTAACCATACTCTATGGTACTTTTGTAAAAATTCCTCGAAAGGATTCTCTTGCACTGCCGAATTTGACACCACTCAGAAATCACATTAGGACCAGTAAGTATACACCGAAAAAGTGCAAGCGCTGTCGCTATATCAGATTTCCATAGCATATGTTTGGCTTCAAGTTCTCTAACAGAACCAATGCTACTCATCTGAAGTCTCTCACGTCAACGATACGTAGTGAAGGCACGAACTTTTTCCGTAATTTCTAACACACAAATAAAAGTTTGCCGGAACCAACAATTATCAGAGACTGCTTGCTGGATCTTTCTCAACCTAAGCATTCCTACATCCGCAAAGGCAGAACAGCTCGACAAAAAAGCGTATAGCGCAAGAGTGAGGTATGAACGATAAAGGATAAAGTTTGGCATTAATAAATCCCGTTTCGAGATGCGCCATCCATTCTGAATCGTAGTGACGTCTCGAATGCGGCTTATACAATGACTTGAGGTGGCAGGCTATCGTAGAAGTCAGCGCTTTTCTTCCCAGGCAAGCCTGGCACCAATTGACCAAGGGACTGGAAGACCTGGTCAACCCGGGAGGATATCGATATCGAGGGTTCAATGCCAGATCATGGGTGTTTGATAAGGCGCCATATGCCTCTACTTCACCTCTGCTCTGTATGAGGTACAAATAGCTAGCTGCGAATTACGATTCAAAAAATTATCCATTGTATATAAGCCCACATGGGTGAAATGATAAGATTCTAAAGTGAAAACAATGAATGCATCGAACCGTTCGTATTGCGCTAAGTAACTGTTTGGTGCCAACTAACTGACCTCGGTAAGACGGAAGACTTTTCTCGGTTCTCCACTGACTGCCCGACGAGGTATTACTACCATCTGTACGCGTCGAAATGACCATAACCTTATCATTCCGAACCATTGAAACGCAAGTGTGAGAATGTCAAGTGCATATTTGAAGTTTAATCGCACAAATCGTGCGTGTACCAGTATTGCCCCTGAATGAACTTTGTCGCTCACTGAGGTGCGCTGAGCACTGCAAACAAGTCTTTCCCAGCTGCTGTAATATGTATAATCATTCCTTGGGGCCCAAGATGACTAGATGCTATTCGGATACTAGTTCACATGCATTCACAAATAATGCTGCATGATAGGCAAACGTGTGAACTACATCAAGAATCCAGTAACACTTAAAAACCATGAAATTACTCAGTACTACAACTTTTTGGTGCATTCAGAGGTTACAGAAATGATATCAACACAATCTGCTGATTTTGAATTACTAATCAATCCGTTGAATATTCAAAAAGCTTTCTGAACTTAGACTCACCCTGAAATTCTTCTATGTTATCATTCCCTTTATGAATGAATCAAAAATCAGGAATAAGTATAACCGTAATTGATGCACAGTCTGCATGACAACGTCAGAAGAGATCAAGCATCAGTCCAGATCCAGATAGAACATCATTAAAGTATTGAAACGAATTCACTCACTAGAGCTAGCTATGAAGGACTGCGATTATTTGCACGAAATTGAAACATTTGATTTCCGAAGTCGATAGCAGGGAAAAAACGATAACGGTAATATAGAGATCACGGAAACACCACCGCTCACTCCCGCACGCTCCCAGATTTCTTATTTGCAAACACTACCAGCACACTGAAAGAGATATAATGATTCAGACTATGTTTGGCTCTGCCAGTTACTGCAAAAATCAGAAATGGGTTCAAAGGTTTTCTCAAACATGAATGGAAGTCTAATTCACTGTTCTTCACGAAGAGATGGCTCGGAGCACAACTCTCTATATATTTTACTTCTTTGCTTCCATTCTCTGAATGGCTTCCGTGAGCCCCTCTTCGTTAGGACTATCGACAAAAATCGTTTTTGGCAAACTTTCGCAGCAACCGAAAAATTTTAAAGTTCATGGCC